GTCTTTCTCCCGGGAGGTCCTGCATGGGAGAGGGGAGTCCTGGAAGCAGCTCTGCGGGAGAGAGAGAGCGACAGGAGGTTTTTAGGGTGTAGCCTGGGGCATGGGGAAGAGCTTGTGGCCACGAGAGGTGAAGAGGCCAGGAAGACAGATAATTGAAGGTTGGCCTGCGCAGCTACAGCTAGAGAGAGCTATAACTGACTTTCTGGAAAGGGCACCATTTCTAGTGTCATAGACACGAATTTTGAATCCCTGCTTTGTTATTTAGGAGCTGTGTGGCCACCGGCGAGTTACTTTGGCTGTTCTGAGTTTGTTTGTTTATTTACAAGGTGAAGTTACTTTCCAAATGTCTATTTCAGAGGTGAGGCGCAGAGTGTATTCGATAATGTGCTGAGACAGTCAGTTAACAGTAACTCTTGTAAGTGGGGAAACCTTGTGGATAACTGAATGTGCGTTGTCTTTTATCTGAACCACAAACCTGCAAGGGAGTTATCCTCATTCTCGTTTCACAGATGAGGAGGAGAGTCGGAGTAGCCCAAGTGTTTCATTCGGAAAGCACCCACTGGGGACCAAGTATGTGCCAGGCTCAGGGAATGGCGAGGAAAAGAGCCGAAAAGTACAGGGGAGAACATGGACTTTGAAGCTCGAAGAAGCTGGTGTTCCTAGTCCCCGCTCTGCCACGTCCTTGCTGTGTGATCTGGATCAAGTTTTTCAGCCTCTCTGAGACTTTCTTTCTAAAACAGGAATGATGATCCCACCTTGCTGGGTTATGGTGAGGATTCAAAAACAATTAAGATTAAATAGAGTCTGGCATCTGGTAGGCACTCCATAGGTGATTATGACAGAAGGCACTTTCCTCTCTCTGGGAGTTTTCTGACCCTAGGGCCAAATTGCTTTCACTCTCTAATGACTAATGGATTGACATGCTGGTCTATCTTTTGTCCTGGCCACCTGAACAGCTCAGTCCTGGGAGTCCTGACAGGCAATTTCCTTGGAATTAGCTTAATAATACCTCGTAGGTGTGTGATGCATTTCAAAGAAGTTTCCCACCATTATCTTCTGTCCAGGGAGGCAGCAGGGCAAGAAAGGAAAGGCTTAGAGAGGGGCCAGGTGCCTCAGAACTACTTCCTCTAGATCAGTTCCCTTTTAAAGATGCAGAAACTGAGCCTCAGGAATGGTAGTCTCTAGCCTGCAGTTATACAGTTATGTGGCTGAACAGAGATTTGCACCCTTGTGCAGCTGTCTCCACAGCCAGCACAGCACACCTAATAATCCAAGGTAGACCCAACCCAGATTGCTCACTTGGTTTGGGGCAAGGGCTCCTCCCATAGGGATGGATGGCTTCCAGGGGGATTGGAGGTCTGCTATTGGTCTGCAGGGTAGTGTATTTTCCAAAGATGGTGTTCATACCTTTCATCAGCTCACCAGAGGAGACCAGGACCCAACACAGGTGAAGAACCACTGGCCAGGCTGGAAGGATGGTTGGCAAAGACAGAGGTTCCCTCCCTCCCCAATGCCCCTGTTCACCCCAGAAGGCTCACCGGGGTTAAGGCATGAAAAGTGATGACGTGACCTGTTTGTTATGAAATATCAAAGTAACTCATGCCAGGGACCAACACACAGATGAGATCATATCATAAACAGGAATCTAGTGAGGCCCAGTGCCTGGTGAAGCCCACCTGGGGAGCCACCAGGTGGGTGGGGAAGGCATGAGTCTTGCCCTCCGCCCCATTCCCAGGCCTGGCCCCGTGGAATTGCCAGTCCCAGGCCTTGCTCCTGTCCACAGTTACTTAGCTAAGGTTCTGAACCCATCTCTACCTCTTAAGGGGCCGCGAGAACCTGGTTCAGACTCACCATCCAATGAGCCCCACTTCCCACATTTCTGAGGCACGCTTACAGAGTAGAATCCTCATGAGATGGTATGGAAACACTCTGGGGCCTCTTCCTTAAATTTTCTGTTCAGGGTCAGCTTACACCTACCTGGTGTTAGAGGGACTAGCCGCAGTACTTCCCAGTCAGCCTCCCAGTTCTTACTGACTTGAGCAAAGAGAAATCCTCTCTTCTTTTTCCGACTTTGGAAGCCCACAAGGAAGTCAGACCAGAAGGCACAAGGGAAATGAAACCAGGCTCAGCAATCAGTTTATTCATATCTGAAATGGGCCTATCATCTGGGCACCAGGTGAGGCAAGCTTGAGGCTCCTCTTACCACATGCCCTGCTAGAAAGGCATTACAAATAGTGACATTGAAGACAGCCACTTGTAGGTCTCGAGGCCTGAAAACTGAGTTCCCAACTTGCATGAGCCCCTCAGCTTGCACCAGTCTCTTGTGGCCTTCCTTCTCTGAGAAATGAGGGGACAAAGCCAGGATTTTTTCTTTGCACCCATTCTTCAATGGACAGGGGACCCCATCATGAACTCTCCTTCAGCTGGGCATTTTTTCATCTCCTTAAGGGAATGAGCAAGCAGGTCTTTCCCAAGCTCCCTAAATCCAGCCACGTGAGGGAGAGCATTAGTACTTAAGCAGAGACGGGTGTCGGATCAAATTTTACACACAAGTGTTTAAAAATCGTTTATTATGCAAAATGTTAACTTTTATAAAAAGTTTAATATACATCGCATTGTTACAGAAAGTCACCTTCCTGCAAAAAAGGTACAAAAGCTATATACTCTATTATAGAGTTCATAAATCAGGGCAAGAGCCTTTCTCCAAGGAGACCAGAAGACCAGCTCTACCGCCGCCTTGGCAGAGTTTGGAAAGCAGCCACTCCTCTCCCCATCCCCCCACCCCCACACACTCTGAAAAGACAGTCCTTAACCTTCGGGGGTGGGGAGGGGGCAGGGTGACCAGCTGGTGGCCAGAGCGAGCTCTGGCTCTTCAGGCCACCCAAGTTCACAGTCCTTCGCTCCCGGGCACCAGGTCCAGCCTCCAGGAAGGGGTTTGGGGAAGTCAAGTGGGCAGGGCGAGGTTGGGGCCCATCCATGCCCTCGGGCTTCCGGCCGGAGAGGGTCCCGGGGTCCCAGGCGGAACGGGCGCCAGCACCTGCGTTCTGGGCGGGGGAGGAAAGACCAGGGAGCAGTCAGTTTCCGCCGAGCGCGCCGAGGCGGGGGCCGTCCGCAGACTGGCCGGCGCCAGGGAGGAAACTTGGTCGCTACCTCCAGCTGATAAGTCCGCGCCCCACGCTGCCCCCACCCAGTTGGCGCCAAAGACCACAGGCGGAGCTCGCGCGGCCCCTCCCCCTTGGAACTGACACTAGTTGGGAGGGGGCTGAGGAAGACACAGCTCCCTTTACAACGCCAAACAGAAAGACTGTTTTATGTGGTCGAACCCGAGCCTGCCTTCCCGGATCTTCGGCCACCGGGGAGAGCAGGGGTGACGCCCGTTTAAGGCTGAGCTGCACATTAGGTAGAAATCGATTCTGCCATTCATTCGATGTGACCATGAGCAAGTCACCTGTCCCTCTCTTGCCTCGGTTTCCCTAACCTGAGGGAGCGACAATCCTTCCAAAGGCCTGCCAGCTCCAGGGTTTGCCCTTTAAACCTCCCTCTCCCCGGGAAGAGGGGACACTCACTTGGAGGTGCCAGGACGGCCGGGTCAGTGGCAGAAGCTCCTTTTGTCGTTGGAGATCACAAGTTCCGGAGCAAGCTCTGCTGTCTGGGAGAGGAGAAAAAGGAAAGAGTTACACAAGGCGATCGGGGAGCTCTGGGAATCCCGCGGCACCCCGGCCCGGCATCAGCCCCGCCCCGGCTCCTACGCGCACCTGGATGGGGAGGTGCGGGCCGTCTGGGGGTCCAGGGGCCGGCTCGGCCAAGACCACCTGCAGGTCGAGGATGTAGTCGATGACGCGCTGCAGGATTTCCACCTGGCTAAGCTGAGTGCCTCTCGGGACTCCGGGTACCAGTTCCCGCAGGCGCGAGTAGCAGTGGTTCATGTCGTCCAGCAGGCTCAGCGGCTCCTCGGCCGCCGGGCCCTTGCCACGGCCCCGCGCAATCGCCAGGCTGCGCTCGGACAGGCAGCACACCGCCTCGTAGCAGCCGCGTACTGGACTCAGCGCCTTCATGCTGTAGAGTGAGGCGGGAGGTGCAGGCAGGGCGAGGAGAGCAACAAGTCCCGCGTGTGGCTGGCAACGCGCGCACGCACGCCGCCGCCCGCTCTTATAGAGCGCGCCTGGAAGGCACGCCCCTTTATTCAAATAGGTCCGCCGCGGCCCCGCCTCCCCCGACCCTGGGCGTTCACTGCCCGCTTAAATTGCAAACAGGCAGCCTCCGGCTGGTCTGACGCCGGAGACCGCCGAGCCGCGGATTCGAAGAATGAGGAAGGGCTGATACTGGGGAGAGGCGGGCCTCTTCGCCAGCAAGGATTTAAAAAATCAGTCAAAACCATTAACCTTAAGAATTTGCCTTTTTCTGGCAGCGTCCCAGATCTGTGAGCTCCCCTGCCAGTCTGTTCTTAGCCCAGCGATGGTTCGAACCCACAGCTCCTCCGAGGTCGTAAATCCCTGAACAGCAAAGAAGCTTTTTTTTTTTTTTTTTTTGCCTTTTTTTTTTTTTCCTTAAGCAAAAGATTTTTCAAGGGAAACTTGTAAGGAATTAGTGCCGCCTTGTTCCCCAATTTGCTGTTCGTCTGACCTCCAGACTCACTGGCGTCAGGAATTATCTTGTGACCAGAGGGAAAAAAAATTAATTGCGGTGAAGCTGAGGTTACAATGAAGAAAACAGATTTGGGCTAGGCGCTGAGATTGCAGAAGGAGGAGGGGAAGGGGGTTTGAGCAAAGAACACTATTTATTTGAGCAACAGGGGAAAAGAAAAAAAAAAGCCAGAGTCCATGCATTTTGCATTAGGAAAAAAAGAGCTCGCACCCTCTTCCCCATGAGTTTAGTGAGGAACCAAATATGTGCCCGGTTGTGCTTGGAATTAGTTTGATTAGGATTGTGGACAGAGTTTTAAATATGGGGGAAAGATGATTTCCTTTTTTTTTTTTTTTTTTTGAGTTGGAGTCTCAGTTGCCCAGACTGGAGTGCAGTGGCTGCTCACAGCCACTGCGGCCTCGACCTGCTGGGCTCTGGCGATCCTTCCACCTCAGCCTTCCAAGTAGGATGATTTCTATATAAATCTTTTTAGGAGCCCCCCCTCATATTGGGTCAGCAAATCTCTTTTAACACTCCACCCACCTCCACTTTCCACACACCTCTGTGCCGAAAACAATGGTAATTTCACCGTTCTATTGTCTCCTTTTTGCTATGGAAAGGCAGGCCACCTGGACTTGATTACTCTTGGCCCTGCTGTAGTAGCTCCAGTTCTATCTGAGAGTCCAGGGAAAGGACCAGAAGGTAGGCGAACGAAGTCCTGCACTGCAACAGGACATTGCGCTCAGTATTCTTTGTCCCCTCCCAAGACTTTTTGGATCTGCAGCTCCAAGATGCTGCTTTCTGTCTTGGAAATGACCAGGTGGGATTCCCCCAATGGTTACTTTATCAATCAGTAAATATTTATGGAGCTTCACATAAAACAGTGGCTCCTGCTTTCAAGAATCTCACAATTTGGAGAGACAAAATTAGCACAGGAAACAATTAAGAGTCCAATGGTGTGTGGCACTGATTAACAGGACAATGGGAGCTCAGAGCAAAGGCCAGTCTCAAAACAGTTACAGTGGAAAGGACACTGGACTGGGAATCGAGTCTTGGGTTCTGACATGCTAGCTCTGCCAGTAATTTGTCATAGAATCTTGAACAAACCCAGGTACCCTGGCTTTAGCTGCCTTGTGAGTAAAATGAGAAGATGGTGCTAAGTGATTATTTGAAATCTATTCCAGCTTTATAACTCCAAGGCTTTGTGAAATTTGGACAGGCAGGTGTGGGATGGCAAAGAGCCCAGAGAAGGGATGTAAGACATGTCCGATGTCACACCACAAGTCATAGCAGAGCCAGTCTGGAAGTTTTGTGCTTGTCCATCATACCACGGGGCTCTGTGACCCTGGAATATTAATGTGTTCAAGGACAGCCTTGTTGGCATAAGAAGAGGAAAATCTGTGAGTAGACAAGACAGCCTATATGTGCTAGAGAAGTCAAGTGCAGTGATTTGGGCATGGGAAGGGAAGATGGTGGCTGTGAGGACTCCTAAGTAGAAGATCCTTTCTTTCCGAATCACACTGCAGCTTGTGCAAAATCATCAAGCCCAGGAGGTTCTAGAAAAATCATGGACTTGAGGGCCAGGCAGATTTACATTTGAATCCCCATTCTTCCCTTTTACTAATTGTGTGAACCTTAAGTCACCACCCTGTGCCTCTATTTTCCCATCTATACAATGGAACTAATTGGATCTACTCATTCAATAAATAGTCAATTAACTGGATGCCTCTTCTCTGCATGGCCCCTGGCATGCTCTCTCCATCCGATCTCTTAGTCTTCTTGGTGCCTGGGGGGCTCAGCATAGGGCCACTAGTGCTGTAAGTGCCCATCCACCCAGATTCTCTTCCTTCCTCCAGTACTACAACAGATCCCTCAGGCTTGTATAGGGCTTTATGATTTGCAAAACACCTTCACATTTATTATATCCCCGGATGCTTCTAGGCTGAAATGCCCACAGGCTATGTGACAGAAGGCAGAAGGATACAGTGGGATTAGCAAGCAGAGAATTCTGTTCTGTCCATGCCAATAACTTGCAGTGTGCCCTTGAACGAATTTCCTTCCTTCCAGGGCCTCGTTTTCTGTTAAAAAAAAAAAAAAAGAAGAAGGGGGGGCCTTTGGGGAGCAAATGATCTTTAACGGCCCCCTCCAATCTAAGATTTAAATTCTGAAAGAAGCAGGTTATGGTTGGGAACACTGAATAGAGTTTAAACCCAAGACACTTCTTTTTTCCCAACAGCGGACTGGAGGGGCTAGCTCAGGCCTTCTGCAACTTGTTTAGCGGTGCCGGGGCCTCAGCCTCTTATTCCAAATGCCTCTGAACTTTCTGTTCCCAGTTCTGCTCCTTTTACCAGCTTTTTCCCCCCTCTTGCATTTTTTATTTTTATGAAAGGATGTCATTAAGGCTTTTGTCTGCGCTGTTTTTGTTTCAGAACTTTTCTCACAATCCTATTTTTTGTTGAGGAATCCGCTCCTTTGCCCAGCTGTGGGTCCCGGTCCCACAGCTGTGTTGATCTAAGACTCAGCCCCAGACAGCCTGGCGCCAGGGTGGGACGTCATGCGTTCACACAGGGATGCGTGTCCCAGGCAACCTTTCCTCGGGCAGTCACCGGCCGGCGACTGCCTTCCCCGCCAATGAGCGTCCGACACTCGAGAAAGGGGCGGGGCTTGCGCCACCTCGACCGCGAGAGGCTTGTGAATTGCAGATGCTGAGAACTTGATAATGTTCCTTGAATTGGGGCCCTTTAAAGTCCTTTTCTTTTAGTTCTTCCTTTGCTTGTGTTTATTCCCTTTCTTCCCACCTTCTCCTTTTAATCTATATATGCGTATAATTTTTCTCTTTCCTTTTGTCTTTTTCTTTTTTTTAACTATCTCCTCCCAGTGTCAGGAATCATTTTGCAAACATTTCCAGGAACTGAATCTTCCTCTGCCAAAAAAAAAAAAAAAAAAGAAAGAAAGAAAAGAAAATTCAGTGTTGTGCTCTCATATTTTGACGAGTTGGCAGAACTATTGTTATACTGTTTTGTCTTAAAGAAATTTTTAAGGAGTGGTAGTACGTCTGAGTTGATTTCAAAGTCAGAGTGATGATGAGAATTGCAGATGTCTTTTTGCCTAAACTGAGCTTCTATCTATCTCGCTATCTATCTTTTCCCCCATTATGTTGTAGATGTGGCAATCTTGGGGACTCAGAATTTCAGTCAAGTTTACTTGGCGTGTCAGGGTGTCACTGTGGCCAGGACCCAGACCTCACCCTCATTTCCCTCCCTTTCCACTCTGCCCACCCCCCATGCAACTCTTATTAGCATTAGGGTGGTCTGCTGTAGCCTCAGAACATTCCCAGATGCTGCATTTGCTAATATGTGCCTGTTTGTACCTGTTTGCTCATAAGGTGCCTACACAGCTGTGCTGAATACTCTACGGCCATACACACATGTCCCTTCTCTTCCCCACATAGCAACTGGAGTCCAGTGCGATACGAGGAAAGCACAGAGGATTCAGAATCAAAACCAGGCTCAAATCCTTGCCCATACTACCTACCTTTTCTCTGCCTTGGTCGCCTCTTCTAGTACATTGAGAGGAAAATAATATCCATCTACCTCACAGCTGGGAGAATCAAAGGGGACAAGGGATGGAGAGTGCTATGGGAACCAATTAGTTATTTTTATGTGCTGTGATGTGATGTAGCCCCTGTTGAGTGGGACAGGTGATACCAGGTGAGTTTAATGGTTCCTGCTGAGGCAGTTCTCAGGAATGTGGGCAACCTAGAGAAGAGGAATGTGGGGAGAATCTGGATCCAAGGCATGAGTCCTTAGAGGAGTGGGAATTTCAGAGGCCTCCAACATGGGCTGCTCTCTATGTACAATTCAGAAGCACTCAGTGCTGCCTCATCCTCATCATCATCATTATCCATTGAGTCCTAACTGTTTGCCAAGTTTTGTTTGCCTTCTCACACATTTTTCTCATTGACTCATTTTATAGACAAGAAGACAGAGGCTCAGAGAGGTTAATATGTTTGCTCAAGGTCTCATAGCTAGTAAGTGGCAAATCTAAGATTTGCACCTAGGTCTGCCTGTCTCCAAAGCTAGTGTCCTTCTGCCCCTATGCTTTTCCTCTTACCCTTCCAAAGGACCTCCCGGGGAGGCAGCTTAGACCTGAGAGGGTTTTATTCTACCAGATAGGGGAACTATTAGGTCGTTTTGAAGTGTTGGGGATTCTAGGGAAAGATGTTTTCTATGCAGAGAGACTCAGAAAGCATTGGAAATTTGTTGGAAATTTAAAGATCTCTTCCCCCATACCTCCCTGTCCATGTGTTAAATGTTTATTCTTTTTTTTGAGTTGGAGTCTCTGTTGCCCAGACTGGAGTGTAGTGGCCGCTCCCAGCCACTGCAGCCTCGACCTGCTGGGCTCCGGCGATCCTTCCGCCTCAGCCTTCCAAGTAGCTGGAACTACAGGCGCGCGCTACCACGCCCGGCTAATTTTTGATTTATTGTAGAGATGAGGTCTCACCAAGTTGCCCAGGCGGGTCTCGAACCCGCGGGCTCAGGCAATCCACTCACCTCAGCCTCCCAAAGTGCTGGGATTACAGGCTGAGCCACCGAGCCCGGCCTAGATGTTTATTCTTGAACGAAGTACAGAATGACTACTCTTGCTTTTAGGAGTCAGCTTCAGAATTGAGTTCCTGCTTCTTTTCATCTACCAACTCCAAGTCGGTCTAGCACTGCCCAGCCACACTACCCTGAAGCTAACTAATACCTTCTCAGCAGGTAGGTGATGACTATGGAATGTCCAAAGGCTAGCTTTGCATCTGGGGTGGAAGGGT